TGCTAGGAGATCGATGTACCATGTGATTTGAGTTTTATATTTCTAGTTTTGCAATTTGACATTAAAACATATTTCTTTTGTTTTGAATGATTTATATGCATTTATTGTTTCCGCAATTAAGGGCCCGTAATTGTGTGAGTTTGGGTGATTTATTCTTGCATTCGAGAGAATTGGAATAGATTCGACATAATATAAATCATCGTAGGGTCCGATAGGGGATAGAAATATACTGCTATGCCCTACGTGAGTCTTTAAGTGTTCATAAAACTACATGCATTTTTACATATGCACTTGTCATAGAAATATAGGCCGGTGGTATGTAGAAATAGGTTTGATACATCTCGAGAGAGAGTATTGGATAAACTTATGAACATTGATTCGTCAACAATTGAATTATGTTGTCATATTGTGAAACTAGAGTTTAAAGTGATAATTGCATGGAAAATCGTGATTCTAGTGTTTTTAATTTCTATTGATTACAACAAACGTGCGTTCTCAACAATTGATTTTATTTTAGAGTTTTAAATTATTGTTTTGCTTATTAATTTCATTACAATCATAAAAGTTGCATAAGTAGGGTTTTCTTTCCAATTTTAGAGTTTTAATTAGGTCCACATTCATTTTGAGTAATTTGGTTTCGGTTAAGGTCGAATAAGTAAAATTGAACTAACCAATCTCTGTGGGACGATACTCAGACTCATTGAATCCACTTTATTACTTGTTAACGAACCGTACACTTGCGGTAATTTAAATCGAAAGAAAATATTTCGTGAACAACATTCAGATGAATGTGTACAGCATTCTTGATTAATCTGTTTCCAGCACTCTCTCCATGGAAAAATTCTTATTAATGAATTCTTTGCAGCTATTATAGACAAACATATTTAGTATACAGGAGTGAATAGTATAGAGAAACAACATTCTTTCTTATGTCTGTCCAGTGTTATCTTATCTAATACTATGTACCAAACATGCTAGTAGAGAATTGTTTCTAATACATGAAGCATTCAACCTTTCAAAGTACACATCACATGCACATCAATTCCGATTCTTATTATGATCAGAAGAGAAGATTCATAAGACAACTAACTAATAGGAAGAGGCAAATAATCCGAATCCCCAACTTTATTCTCTATTTTATCACAAAATGATCTCACACTAGTGCCCAAAGACTTCTTCAATACCAGAAGAGCATAAATCAAGTATATGTGGGAATGATGACCGGAACTAGGAGGCGAAAAAGACTAATCATTTCTATGAAGCAAAGATGAGGGGGATACAGTAAATAACACTTAAAATGCGAAGCTTCTCGCAGCAGATGGTCAAACCTTACTCTGACCGGTATCAGGACTCCTCGGTTTCAAGGTACTGGGAATGAGAGGCTGCAATGAGTGCAGCTCCAATGCCAGAGCCATCTTTGGAAAGCTCAATGTTAACGCTCTCTGAAACCTCCTCCCCCAGGAGCTCTTTAAGAGTATTTTTCAGACAATTCCTGAATTCAGAATAGTGCTCAAACAATCCGCCATCCAACGCAATCACTGACCTCTGCTTCTCACCCTCTTTTACAGTATCTCGTTCCAGTTTTCTGAGAATTCCTAAGATCCCAGCAGCTGAAAGACGTGCCCCACGAGTGGCAACAATGTCACATATTTCCACAATCATTTTCCTCATTTTTAAGGAAGAATTAGGTATCTGTCACAAAGAAAAATGGAGACAATGTGAAACTGGATTAGGTTTTTGCACAAGCTGCTATACTTCAATTGCTCCTCGGATGCACCCCAGTCAACATAGTGGACAAAAAGCTATCAAAGATCCCAAAATTTGCTAGCACTGCTAAGAAACAGATGACCATTTATACAACTATTCTTCTCGATGAATACAACGTATTTTACCTCCAAGATATCCTTTAGTTTGCTCCCAACCACTTTGAGATCAGCAGAAGTGTCATGATGCACTGCAGCCATG